TATTAAGCTTCAGTGTTCAGCCGAAGTGCTGTACTGATCCTTACCTCATTTTATCATTTTCGTCTAAAATAATTTCCTCTTTGTCCCCTAGTAGATTTTCATTCTATGTTAATATACTTGCTAGCAAATCAGAACTGAATATATGTTTCATGCTTCCATGATATCCTTACTCCAATATGTTTCTGTTCTTTTTTCCACCTATTAACTTTTAGAAGAGTTAAAGGTATGTGTTTCCTCCTACCTAATAAAAAATGGTTTGTGTTTCCTCCTCCATGCACTTGTGTTAAAGTGATGTTTTTTTTGAATTTTTATTTTGTGGTAAACAATCAACCTCTTTAATGAAGTATCTTTGACTTGAAAAATGATTGTTCGTAAGGTGTATTGCTTTTCAGGCAGCAGCTCTCCTTTCTGTTGGGCTTTTATATGAGGGATCGGCACATCCCCAAACAATGCAAATTCTTCTGGTACTTTCTTCTCTAAATCTTGGAGGTCTATACACTCCTGGAGTTTTCTTGGATCATCTGTTGGTCAAGTGTTGAACAGTCACTGTGTATTATTCGGTAGTTGGTCTCGACTCAAGATTAGTGTTCACCTTATTCGAATATATGGAAACTTGAAACTTGATTTCTTATTTCTGGTGCATGACTGAGTTTTTGCTTTTGTTGTTCCTCAATTTTAGTTAGGAGCAGAGGGCTACTGAAAGCTAACTGGAGTACTAGGACAATTGATCTTGTGTGGCATTCATTTTAAATAATTTGTTCCTCTGGAAGTTATTGTAGGGAATTGCAGAATTATTTGTTTCTACTTATAAGTTCTGGCATTAAAGTGAAAAGGAGTAGGTGATTATAGATAGTTCATAATGATCTTGCTTGTGTGCAAGAAGAGATGGCTTCTTATTGGACCAAAATGGTAATATAGCGTTAATCCAAGTTTTATGCATGTTTTCATGAATTTAACCACTGGTAGCTGGTTTGCAGGGTGAAATAGGTCGTAGAAGTGGAGGAGATAATGTACTTGAAAGGGAGGGTTATGCAGTTGCTGCAGGGTTTTCACTGGGATTGGTCGCGTTGGGTATGATTGAAAGATCACATGCATCATTATGGCTATTGTCTGTCTCTAAGTGTTTTTGGTTTAACTGAAGGTCGTGGAGAAGATGCTCTTGGTTTCGTGGATGCTTTGGTTGATCGGTTGTT